TGAGACTGCTATAAACGATTGAAAATTCCATGCAGGAGATCTGGATTTCAAACCTTCTATAGCCACAATGATGGTGAAAGACGACCACCTTTTAGGTATTTTTAGAAGGGAAAGTCTAGGGTTTGTCACTTGGAAGTCTCAGTCTGCACAGCGCAGGGCTCCATTCACAGAGGCTGTTAGGTGCTGACAAATGCGGAGTCCGAGTGCCCTCCATAGAACATGGGGGTCCTTTTCCCTCTGTGACCCTGTCTCCCTCTGTCTGTGGTGGAGGCATCTCCTGGAGACATCCTGGCCTCACCAGGGGCTGTAGCCAGGATCAGAAAGTTAACAGGGTCCAGCCCCAGGAAGGTGATTACCTGACCTGACTCTGGGGGTGAGTTTTCCGTTCTTGCTTCTCATCCCTAGAGACTTGGCTGACACAGACAGAGAAGCCTGCAGGTGAGGGAGTGAAGGGCTTGGATCACATTGAAGGCCCTTTGGGCAGCAGGCTTGGGGAGAGGTGAGCTATGGAGAGAAGGGAGAACAACCTTTCCTTGTGAATCATCTCTGCTGCCATAAATAATAGGGCCTTTGTGGCTCCTGCAGGAAGATCCTTGGAATGAGGCAATTTGTTTCAGCCTGATTAACTGTCCTGTGTGACCACTGGGCTAGCCTGGCTTGCACTGAGTTTTAACCACCCATTTTCTCAGTAATACCTCTCCTTTCTTTTCTTTTAAAAATATGGGTGAGTTGCTGGACTGGGGTAGCAATGTTGGTAACCCCACCCAACCTATGGCCTTTAAGTCTCTGCTGGCTTATGGTGTTACTTTTGAACTTTGAACTTCCCAGCAGGGAATCCAGGGCCAGATTGCTTCATCTTTCTTCCCAAGAGCGGCTGGTGAGTTTATAAACTTTCAGTTAGCAGCCAAGTGCTGCTAACACTGCACCACCAAGTTTCCCCTCAGGTTTCCCTGTGACCCCGTCTGTACACGCCCACAATATTCCCCAGCTCAGTCCTTCAGCCAATGGAGAAGCCTTTTCCACACCAGGCGGGGCTGTCAGTGCACATCTCCCTTGTGCCCCATGTTTTTAGAAATCATTTGAGATCATTCTCTTTGATTAAGCAAGGGAAATAAGAGTCTCTGTCTTATATTTGTGATTAATCAGAATTATACCCTCTGCTCCAAGCACTGTACCCATCCCTTTTTCATCCCTTTGGCTCAAGTATCTTATTTTTCTTTCTTTTTCATTCTCTCACTATCTTCCTCTTTAAAATTGTTCCGTTCACTCAGGATTTAAACTTCTCACCATGGCTATTCACAGGTTTGGGCCACCCTCCTCCACGTATGTGGTTATTTGTGTCATCTTTTGTCACTTTAAAATCTGAGCTTGCCCACGTATCTGTACCATCATCTACCTTCCTGATTGGAGTTACTGCAAACTGTATGTTGTTGTTATTATGTGCCATCGAGTTGCTTGTGATTAAAAGCTACCCTATATGCAACAGCCCTAAACCCTGCTCTGTCCCATGCCAATCTTATTGCCATATTTGAAGTCTCAGTCTCAGTTGTCATAATCTGCTAGTCTAAACGTGCTCTATTGTATATAGGGTTTATGAAGGCTTGTTATTTCAGAAGTGGATGGCCAATCCTTCTTCCTAGTCTGCCTTAATTTGAATGCTCAGATTTAGAACAGTATCTGACAGACAAACACTTTACAGAAAGGAGCAGATGAAAAACATTTCTTGAATTGTATAGACACAATACTGAGGGTCTTTCTTCCTCCTGGGGCAGGCTCCCCTTTTCTCATTTTGGCTACAGAATATTACCTCACCCTACCTTTTCTCTCTCTCTTCCTCCCCCCTCTCTCCCCCTCCCCTCTCCCTTTCTTTCTTCCTCCCCCTCTCCCTTTCCCCTCCCCCTTCCTCATTCCCCTCCCCCCTTTCCTCTCCCTTTCCCCCTCTTTCCCTTCCCCCCTTTACCACTCTCTCCCTCTCCCCCTCATTCTCCATCTCTTCCTCAAGCTCCCTCTCTCTCTTCCACATTCTCCCTCACTTTCCCTCACTCTGATGACAATGAGTTGAGTTTTGAGTTACTGGACACCTCCTCACGGCTCACCCCCAAGGGAAACACTGGCCTGTGAATCCTGAGTTCTGGGTGGCCCTGTCCTCACTATCTTCCCTGATCAGGTGCCAGGAAGGGGATTTGATGTGCAGCCCACTCTCTTAGCCTTTTTTCTTGGTGTAGTTCATGCCCCATTTTACAAAGCTGTGACCTCGAGCTTTGCCAGGCCCACAGGACAATTCTGTGTCTGATGCCCCCTCAGTGCCCATGTGTGGGTCTGCTGAGAACCCACTGGAGGGGGATTGGGTTCAACATTTGCACACAGTGGACACTCAGTAATGGGAAGGCTTGGTGACTTTCCCTCAGTGACTTCAGTGAGATGGTAAAAGGAATTTTACCAAAATTGGCAAGAAGTCAAAGCAAGGACAGAAGCTAGCTGGAGATGGATTTCTAGCTAGGCCTCTGCCTGGGTACCACTTCCTGTTCCCCCGGAAGCTTGGCGGAGATTTCTTCCGTATGTCAAGACCTAGTGTCTCTCTAAGGATCCCTGGTGTCACAGTGTTTACGAGTTCAGTTGTTAACTAAAAGTTTAGCAGTTCAAACCTACCAGCCACTCAATAGGAGAAAAGTCCCGATCGTCTGCTACCATGAACATCACAGCCTTGGAAACCCTAAAGGGCAGTTTAGACACTACTCTGTTGTGTAAAGCTGCGAAGAGTAAAAATCAGCTCGATTTAAATCAATGGCACACAAGTGTCTTTTAGGGGAAAATGTGGTGCCTAAAAGACAGACCAACAGCAAAACATGAATTTCTAAAGAATCTCCTCAAATGGGCACCTATCTTTTCAAATACTGGACTGGCTAGCTGCATTGTTGTTATTGTTGTTGTTGTTATGTGCCATCGAGTCGTTTGCGACTCATAGCGACCCTATGTACAAAAAGAGCCCTAAACGCCATTCTATCCTGTGCCAACCTCACCGTCTCAAACACATTCATTCCTACCATTCCACTCACAGAATTGATCTATCTTGTTGAGGGTCTTCCTCTCCTGCGCTGTCCCTCCACTCTCCCAAACATGATGTCCCTCTCCAAGGACCTGTCCCTCCTTGCAGCATCCCCAAAGTATGTCCGACAAAACTTCAGAATCCTTGACTCCAGGGAAAATTCTGGCTTCACCCTCTCCAGGACGAACTTGTTTGTTCTCCTAACAGTCCATGGTATAGTCAACACTCTTCTTCAGCACCACAACAAAGGCATCAATTCTCTTTCTATCATCCCTAGTCACTGTCCATCTCTCCAATGCATAGCACATAATTGCAAAGACTATAGCCTGGATCAGGCGCACCTTAGTCTCCAGCCTAATGTCGTTGCTCTTCAGTACTCTAGCTGCATTACATCTACCAAAAATAATGATCCTGGGGTACACATTAGTAACACCACTCCCCCACCCCCATTTATGCCAAGGCCAGCATGCCTTTAGGAAATAACAGTGTTTGAGTTTATCCAGCTGCTTCAGAAAGCACAACAAGCATGACTTTGATCTGCAAGCAGTGCAGGTACTAGGGTACAGGTGAGCTCCTCTAAAGAGAAGGCTGTCTGCAGTGCAACCAGATGCAAGGGAGTTCCTCTGGCACCCAATCTTAGAGGGACTCTAGTAGCTGTTGTTGTTGTTAGGTGCTGAGTCGAGTATAGCAGCCCTCTGAACAATAGATCTGAACCCAGCCCCATCCTGTGCCATCCCCATCATCTCAGACACACTTGAGCCCATTGCTTTGGTAAACAATATGGAACACTTCATGATTTGGTGATGGCAGCACCTTCAAATATAGTGTGAAAAGTTCAGAGTCCATTTTTCTAAAGAGAGGGCTTCAGTGGAGTAAAATGATCACAGCCTCTACTCAGTTTAATTCTGTGGGGTAGGGTCGCTATGAGGCTGGATCAACTTGCCAGCAGTACTTTTGAGGGTTTCATTTTCTGGACTACAGACAATCAGCAGCTTATTATGAAATCTGAACTCAGTGGGATCAAGATGAGCTACACCTCCCACAAAGTCCTTCCTAGTCCCAAGCATTAGAATGTTTTTAGAGTGTCCATGGCTCATCCAAGCAGCTCTGGTGGCCCAGTCGATTAAACACTGGGCTCCTAACTGAAAGATCGGTGGCCCAAACTTGGCAGCTGGTCAGCAGGAGGAAGATGAGACAATGTGCTTCCAGACAGATGCACAACCTCAGGCACGACGGGGCAGCTCTGCTCTGTCCTCTAGGGGCACTGAGAAGGAATCGACTAAACAGCAGTGGGTTTGGCTAGGTATTTCTCATCAACAAACCTCTTTCTTTTTTTTTTTTTTAAGGTTGTGATTTTAATGAAAGTTACAGAAAAGTTCTATTTTCATTCATTCATTTTTGCACATTGTCCTCCCTATCCCCCTGCCCAAATTCACTTTATTTAAAAAAATTCATTCATTGTTGCATAATTTCCTCCCTCCTCTGGTCCACTTTGCTATGCTCCTCTTACTCTGGACTGTTGCCATACAAATAAAGCCTAATCATATAGTCCCTCTAAACAGTTCTTTCCTTTATCTGTTCCAATGCAGTGTTCATTATTTATCCCCTCTTTTCTTAGTTTCCGCCCACTATCCATATCAGTCCTATTTTATAGCTGTGGCATTATACAGTATTTTTCCTTTTGTGACTGAGATGTTTCACTCAGCATAATGTCCCTGAGGGTCACACATGTTGTGTAATATTTTATTAGTCCCTTGTTTTTCAGTGCTGCATAGTATCCCATTGTGTGAATATACCCTAGTTATTAACAGTTGAGGGAATTAGTGTTAGAAAATGTCGCAGTGTCCTCTAAGAGAAGTCTGCCTCTGTGTGGGATGGTGCTGTAGTGCTTTATCCGTCCATGGGAATCAACAATTCACCTTGTTCTTTGTCATTGTAGGACTGAGCCACCACCATGGACTGGGGCACCCTGCACACTTTCATCGGGGGCGTCAACAAACACTCTACCAGCATCGGGAAGGTATGGATCACCGTCATCTTCATCTTTCGGGTCATGATCCTCGTGGTGGCTGCACAGGAGGTGTGGGGGGATGAGCAGGAAGATTTCGTCTGCAACACTCTGCAACCAGGATGCAAAAATGTGTGCTATGACCACTTCTTCCCAGTGTCCCACATCCGACTGTGGGCGCTGCAGCTCATCTTCGTGTCCACACCCGCCCTGCTGGTGGCCATGCACGTAGCCTACTACAGACACGAGACGGCCCGCAAGTTCAGGCGGGGAGAGAAGAGGAATGAGTTCAAAGACATCGAAGACATTAAAAAGCAGAAGGTCCGGATAGAGGGCTCCCTGTGGTGGACATACACCAGCAGCATTTTCTTCCGCATCATCTTTGAGGCATCCTTCATGTATGTGTTCTACTTCCTCTACAACGGTTACCACCTGCCCTGGGTGTTGAAATGTGGGATCGATCCGTGCCCCAATCTGGTGGACTGCTTTATTTCCCGACCCACCGAAAAGACTGTGTTTACCATTTTTATGATTTCTGCGTCCGTGATCTGCATGCTGCTGAACGTGGCCGAGCTCTGCTACCTGCTGCTCAAAGTGTGTTTCAGGAGGTCAAAGATGGCAAAGGTGCAGAGAAACCACCCCAATCACACCCTGAAAGAGAGCAAGCAGAATGAGGTGAATGAGCTGATCTCAGACAGCGGGCAAAATGCAATCACAGGCTTTCCCAGTTAAACATTTCAAAGCAAAATGTCGCTGATCTCCAACCACATTGAAGACGATGCCACCTGAAAATGCGCCCCTACCTGTAGGTTGAAGTGTTTCTGGTTGTGAATGCCTTTTATAATAGATACTTGAACTAACTTTTTTTTTTGGCTAGAATATGTGCTTTTAGCATGCAGAGTTATAATACCTGTCGTTTGTCTCTGAAAACAAAAAGATAGATAGATTGACATCTCTGCCTTCATGTAACTTTAACATACTGAGTTAGAGAGGACTATCTGACCTAGTGGATGTTCCCTAAAAATTTAAATATGTAACTGTTATGGGCATAGGACGTTTATCTAGAAATCAACATTTTTATTAGTGAAAGCTATTTTTTATAGGTTTGAATGTTATAGTTCTGACTTGGAATTTATATAAACTATTTTTATAATGATTGCTCTTCCTCACCTGGAGAAATATATGACATTGGCTATAGGACAATGTAGGTGTCTAAATCTTGAACCTAACAAAAGGTCTGTCTTCTTGTACATATCAGTCTACATTATCTCTTGACAAATTTATGAACTGTCATGATATTCTGAAGGTGGAAAGTGTTCATCGTACAATAGATTTTTACTGCTTTTGGAATGTAGATATAGCTGTATGGATGTGGAAAGCTTTTCAAACTAGCCTGTTTATCAATCATTGTGAAAATCTTAAAGATGAATGTGATTGCCCCAATAAAGACAGGCTGTATTGCTCAAGCCTTAACTCTGTGTCTGTTCAGTCTGTCACCCATGTATCCATGGACCACCTCTTTATTGTACCCAGTGAGATCATAACTGGGTGGGTCATTGCCTGAGATTGCTCATCCCTGAGGAACTAATGGCCTGAGAAGTCAATGGGGACCCTTGTTAGTTAGCCTTGACAAGGAAAGGAAGCTGGGGAAATTTTGAGCAGCTCTCAGACAAAGTCAGCTCCCAAAAATGTCTGCCATGAGTCCTTGTGGCTTAATGTAACTGAAAAACTACCCCCAACCTCTCTCCTTTAGATGGGAAAAGGTCTTCCTAGAGATTTCCAGAAAAACATACTGTGAGTGTGGGTGTTGGTGAATCAGTCACAGACAGTGTCCTACTTTTGTGTAATAATACACACCAATTAAATCTCTGAGAAAAGGGAAGTGTTTGGTACGGTACAGCATACATGAGAACACCTAGTGAATAATGGACTGTGCATACATACACATGTTGGAGATGACGTGCTCATTCCTAAAGGACCTCTTTCAGATCCTCTTTCCCGAAAAGCAAAAAATAATCCTCACTGTCTTCAGAGTCCAAAGCAAACCTGACAGGTGAGGTCATTTATCCTTAGATATTTTCATACAAATCTACAAAAAGGATGAAAGTTTCCAAACAAAACCACAATTCTATAATTATCACAAAAGAAAGAGACCTGATAATAGTACACTTTTGAAATAGTTGTTTGAATGAGCATCACATAAAGCCCATACACATGAGGGGTGGGGGTTGGGGAGATAACCCCACCTTTGTGATGCCCCCAGTCTGTAATGGGAGAGAGACTTCTTCCCACTGAGCCCTCTTCCTCCTGACTTGGCCAATTGGTCCTCCTTTCTTTTTCTTTCTTTCTTTTATCTGGCTTCCACCCCTCCACCTCTTTAGACCTTCCTTCTAGCTCTAGCTATAGCTCATCTCTCCTACCATCCCCGTCAAGGCCCTTAGAACTGGACTATCTCCCCTACCATTCCTGTCAAGGGTAGCCATGTATCCTACCATCACCGTCAAGGGTAGCCATATATCCTACCATTCCATCAAGGGACCATCTCTCCACCATCCCATTTAGGGTACCATCTCTCCTACCATTCCTATCAAGGGTACCATCTATCCTACCATCCCTGTTAAGAGTACCATCTCTCCAACCATTCTATCAAGGATACCATCTCCCCTACCGTTCCACCAAGGGTACCACCTTACCATCTCCCCTACCGTTGCATCAAGGGTACCATCTCCCCTACCATCCCATCAAGGATCCATCTCCCCTACCGTTCCATCGAGGATACCATCTCTCCTACCACTCCATCAAGTGTACCATCTCTCCTACCATCCCCATCAAGGTCCTTAGAATTATAAGCTACACTCACCACTGGGCCTGCCTGCTCCCTCTCTTCACCTCCTCCTCAGCACTTTCATCTCACCACTCAACTGGAGCTATCAGAGCATCGTTTTCCTTCCTCAATGCCAAATTCAATGACATCTTCTTGGTTTTCACCTTCCTAAATCTCCTCTTAAACACCTTTTTTCTGCATTCCAATTAATTGCAGTCAGAGAATCAGGATGTGTATTGTACTGGGCAAAGCTGCTGTCAGGGACCTCTCTAAATTGCTGAAGAGCAACGATGGCAGTTTGAAGACTAAGGTGCCTCTGATTCAGGCTATGATCTCAATCACCTGCTATGCAACAGAGAAGAGCTGGACAATGAATAAAGAATGGATTCCTTTGAATTGTGGTGCTGAAGATGAGTGCTGAATATCCCATGAACTTCCAAAAGAATAAATAGTGTTCTGGAAAGGGTGCGGCCAGAGTGCTCTTTCGAGGCAAGGATGATGAAGCTTTCTCTTTCATACTCTGGTCTTGTAACTAGGTGAGGCTATTCCTTATAAAGGGACATCAAGTGTTATCAGTGAAGGAGAGGAAGGCCCCCATTGAGAAAACTAACATGGCAACTTCAGCAATGCGCTCTACTGTGTCAGAGATGATGAGGATGCCACAGGATAGGGCAGGGTTCAGGTCAACCATTCATAGGTTCACTATGAGTCCTTAACTTGATAGTACTTAACAACTAACTCAAACTTACCTTCTTATTCCATCTCCAGCTACACCATGGTCTCTTCCTCTGCCTATTCCTGGGGGAAGTAATCCCTCACTCTCAGTCTTCCTTGGTGATATCACTCATTCATGCAACCCCTGTCCCTGCTTTGTAGCGTGGGGCTCAAAGAGAGTAAATCTTGCCCCAGGTCACATAGCTAACTAGCAAAGACAAGTTTCAAACCCAGATCTGTCTCCAAAGATAGTAGTTGAACTACCGTGTTGCACTTGGTCCCACAGCTTTGTGAATGATGACAGCATGTAGTTTATAAAAAGAAACCTCAGATATCTATTCTCCAGCGTCAACAATCATCTCCTTATTGTCCCCACATGGCTCTATCCACTTCTCTTCCCCCTACAGATTACTGTGAAGCAAATCCAGCATGTCATTTCATATATATGTATTTCAGTACGGATCTTAAAAATAACAACAACAACAAAGAACTACTCATTTTAAAGAGAGCTCTGGTGGCTTAGTGGCAAGCAGTTGCACTGCCAACCCAAAGGAACATGGTTTGGATCCACTACTTGCTCCGTGGGAGAAAGATGAGCAATCTCCTCCCATTTGATTTATTGCCTCTGAAAAGTTGTTGAAGGGTCAGCTACAGATCAAGAGAGATAGTGAGTACCAACAACACATTTTAAAACCACAAATACCACCATCACGCTAAGAAGGCTGTTGCTGGTGTTATGTGCTGTCGAGTCATCTGCCACTCAAAGCAAGCCAATAGCTCTGAAGCCTGCCCTATCCTGAGTCAGTCTCACTATCTCCAATACTCCTACCCCCATTACCCCAATTACTGTGCCAATCTATTCCATCCAGGGTCTTCCACTCCTGTGCTGTCCCTCCACCCTTCCAAGTATGATGTCCTTTTCCAAGGACTGGCCCCTCCTGACAACATGCCCAAAGTATGTAAGACAGAATTTCAAAATCCTTGCCTCCAGGGAACAATCTGGTTTCGTTCTCTCCAGGGAAGACCTATTTGTTCTCTTGGCATTCTGTAGTATGTTCAATACTCTTCTCCAGCACCAGAGTTCAAAGGCGTCAATTCTTCTATCATCCTTAGTTATTTTCCAGCTCTCTGATTCATAGCCAGTAATCATAAAGTCCATGTCTAGTCTATGTTAACCATTCCTCAATTATGCTTTAAATATTCCTTTATTTTTGTGAATTAAATTTTTTATCCTGAGATCATTGCAGGCTCACATGCAGATAGATGTAAAGCATAATATATGGGATTACTTTGTATGTTTTACCCAGAGGTGACATGTTGTAAAACTACAATATCCTGCTGTCAAGATACTAAACACTTCCATCACCACATGGGTCCCTCCCAACTCAAGTTTACTCGTTGTTATTGTTGTGTACAATCGAATCAGAACCAACCCATAGCTGACCCTGTGTGGGTTTTCAGAAGCAGTTTAATCCCATAGGAGGAGATTGCCTATCCTTCTCTGCATGCTTTCAGGATTGCAGTGCAGCTTCTTGCAATTAGGCTAACAGTGCTCCCTTAAATTGCATGTTGTTAGTGGTAGTGGTGGTGGTGGTTTTGTGCTGTCAAGTCCCCTGCAGCTCATAATGACCCTATGCACAACAGCTCTGAACCCTAGCCTGTCCTGAGCCAGTCTCACTGATTCTAACACACCTACTCCCATTGCCCGAGTTACTGTTTAATTCATCTCATCCAGGGTCTTCCTCCCTGCATTGTTCCTCCACCCTTCTGAGCATTATGTCCCTCTCCAAGGATCAGTCCCTCCCTGCCACATGCCCAAAGTATGTGAGACAGAGCTTCAAAATCCTAGCCTAAAAAAAATCCTAGCCTCCAAGGAGAAACTTTATTTCACCCTCTCCAAGAAAGATCTATTTGTTTTCTTGGTGGTCCATGGTATGTTCAAGACTCTTCTCCAGCACCATAACACGTAGTCATCAATTCTTCTTCTGTCTTCCTTAGTCATTGTCCAGCTCTCTGATGCATAGACAGTAACTGTGAAGACAATGGCCTAGATCAGGCACACCTTAGTTTCTAGACTGACATCGTTGCTTTTCAGTACTCTGGAGAGGTCCCTGACAGCAGATTTTCACAATGCAATTAATTCATCTTTTGATTTCTTGACTGCTGGTGCCAAGAGTGTTGATTGTGGAGCCGA